TACATAGTGAAAACCAAAATAAACCCCAAATCGATTTTAGTGAAAAACAAAAAGAAAATCAGCTGACAGAGAGATTATTTACATTTTATCTTAAACACATTTAATTTATGAAGTTATTTCTTATAAAAATATAATTGTTGCCCCTGTAAAGAAAACATTTCTGCATCTGCTTCTGTATCTGATGTCTCCAGGTCCGAGTCGGGTCTGGGAAGATTGTCAGCTCTCCTGCAGCTCAGGAACTCTGCAGAGGTCCGGAACCAYGTCAGTCTCCTCTGCAGGGTCCTGAACAGACTCCGCCCAGGCGCCGAGGCCGCTGCACAGAGACGCCTGCGTAACATTCTCATCTGCACCGTGTGTGAGCTGGAGAGCAGTGACCAGGTRCACACAGAYCCAGATCCAGATCCAGRTCCAGACTGCAGCATGGTTTTTACACATTTACCTCTCGTTTACATAAATCTTAGACATCAGTGGAAGACAACATCTGCATCCTGACTGATCTTCTACAAACAACCAACCAGGTAAGAACTTGTTTTTTATTGATGTTTTTATGAACAAAGAGATCATTAAGATGAAAACGGTTTCTTTAAACCCTTCTAGGTGACGTTAATGAGCGTCAGACGGGTAACGTCTCACGTTCGGGCCGTGTGGGAGCAGTTTTCAGAGCTCAGTGCTGCGGRTCAGAACCACAGGATGCTCCACAGTCTGATCCGTCTACTCTCATACGGGCTGCAGGTGGTCTCCAGCTGCCGTTACTCACCTGAAMCACCTGATGGTAACATTACAGAGGAGCTGGAGTCAGAATCACCTGCTGATTCAGCAGACGCTCCTGACTGTTATCAGTTCAAACAACATGCAGGATCGATTCCAGTAAAACAAGCTCCACAGCTTCTCTGTGATATTTTACAGACCGCTTCAGACTTGATGCTGGTGAGAAGAAACAAACAGCTTTCTTCTAAAATGTTTAAACTTTACCTTCTGACGTTCGTTTTCTTGTGTGTTTTTTTTAGAGGCACATTTTGATCCAGGAGGCCACAGAGCACAGAGTAACCACAGACCTCCTGGTGTTGCACGCTGCATCCCAAAACCAAACCTCCACCASCATCAGGAGCAACTTCACCACCGTCCACTTCCCTGCTTCTCTGATCGGAGGACTCAGAGAACCAAACCCCTGCGTCCTCAGGGTTCTGATTGAACAGTCCCAAAACCCGTACTGCTGGGCCTCACGTCCTGCCCAGGTGAGACCAGAACCTGAAAACACTCAGGGATTTACAGCTAAAAAATTTTTACCTTTTTTTTTCCATCTATGTTCAGTTGACCGGACCAGTGGTCAGTCTTCACCTGTACAAGTGCAGCACGAGGAGGAGAATCCATGTTGGCTCCCTCCCTCAGCCAATCAGCTTCCAGCTGCAAGTCCCACAAACGAACGTATGTTTTCTATTCACATTTGCCGCTGCTGGTGGAAAACTAGTTTTCTTCTAAAGAACATGTGTCAAACTCAAGGCCAGCGGGCCAAATGTGGCCCTCCAAAGCATTTTATGGGACCCGGAAGAGCTTTAAATACTATATATTTATGTCTTAAAATAAGCTGCTTTAAAGCCAGCGTTGACCATAAACTACATCTCCCATAATGCATGTCAATTACTTTAGAATAGAATAGAATAGAATAGAATAGAATAGAATAGAATAGAATAGAATAG